TAAATTAGCTCTTGTCTTTCATCTGAAGAAAAAGAAGGAGTTCACGAAAAAGCGCGACCATTTCGCAATCTCTTCTTCAATGAGTTACTGCCTCATCTTCAATCTGCTGTACCCTACTGGTCACAGCTTCCCACTAGAACCCCAGGTAACTAACTGCCTGAATAGGGTCAGTTGCTAGTGAGCATCAGATTAATTTTCAAGTATTGGTTTTGTAGGTATTTTGTTTGATTGGATGGAGGATTTCATCATGAGCTGATACCAGTTAGAGAACCACTGGAAAACTTGGGAGTACTGGACAGCTGTTTCGTCCTAGTCTGGGACTCTTCGGCAGTACGCACCCACCGGGGTTCGAACTCAGGACGTTCTAGTTACAAGGCAAAGAAGGAGTTAGCAAATTGAATTATATATATATATATATATATATATTAGTAGATTATTTTTAGTATTAGTATTCACACTACTTTCTTTTCTTAAGTAGGATAATGTAGATATGTATAAGTGTAATGTGAAAAAAACAATAGAATTCTTTCTTGTCATCCTAATCACTGCCATCTTCTTCTGACACTAGGCTATCGATCAAAAGACTTATGTACACATGGTTATTGAAAGTAGAAGACAGGAGAAGGCCAACTGGTTTTGACCATAGATGTTCGCTTTCTAGCTCCTGTGTCAAATGGTATAATATAATTGCGAATATTGAGGTTAGGCATAACAGTGTTTGCTAAAGAAGCAAAGTTAATCGATGAGGTTGTGAATTCACGTCAATTGAGATGGCTATAAGGTATGTGTTAGTCATGCTCAGTTTACTGCCTTCCTTGATGGGTAGTATTAGCCTTATATAGGATTATGTGAGGGGTGGGATAAATTAAACTTGGGTTCACTTCATGGAGTCTATGACATTTGCTGGTTTGAGCCAGCTGCATAGAGATGTTGCAGGCTACCTGATCTGGGGGTTCTCAAGACGCTAGTAACTGATAGTTGTGGAGATTACTGGTGATATGGCTTGGAACGGTTCTCACTGGCGTAGATGCATTCACTCTTTACTGTCTCCTGTATTCATTGGACACTCATGTTTTCTCCAGCACTATTCTATTTATTATAGTTCTTTTGAGTTTCTGTCTTTCATCTACCTCTGTGAACTATGTGTGTAGTACAGCAGCTTTAACTGCTGAACTTCAGTTCAAATTCACAGACAGTGGCTTCGTATTTTTCTATGTATGTTATTAGAAGGCAGAGGAAAAGTCACAGGTTAATTTCCTTGTCTGAAATAACCAATAAATTAAAATAGTATGCACATTATATCAGGTGATATAATATTGTTTCAGATGTATTAATCTATCATTCTCTCTTCATTCTTGTTTTATTTCTTATATATAAATAGACTACGAGAGTTATTTTTATTTGGATGTGTTTGTTCTCTGAGATAGTTGATTAGACACTAGTTAGTTGCAATGTGGCTACCAAGCTAGGTAGCTAACCATCACGGGACATGAGTTCCTTCAAGGTTGCAGATACGTCTTGCTGACTGAGTGGTGAGTACCAACTATCGCGCGAAACCTAAGTGAAGCAAGGCTTCCTATGGCCGATTGCCTTCAACCATCTAGTATCAACAATTATGGTGTGGTTGATTTAATTCTAGAGTTTTCGTTGTCCCCTTTCAGGACAACATCGTTTCTGCCCAGGTTTTAGTGTAAAATAAACTTATTTCAACTCTCCATGATTGATGATATAATTGTATCTCCTGACAACCATTGTTGTGACTATTTGTTAGTTTCCATCTCTATTGGGTTATTTTTATTGACTTAGAATTTGAACTTTCTTGTCATGTGACCTAATTTCTATTAGCTTGTAAATTTGCTTTATAGTAATGTGTTTTTCAATCGATGACTGATTCATTTGAGTACCACCAGACTTCTAGAAATTCCCTGGCGCCAGTATTTTTGATGTCTCCTCTATTTAAATCTTCTACATTATCCCAATCAAATTCGTGTCCATAATTATCTGCATGCATCGATGTGAAACAGAAATGCATATCGTGCCTTTTTACAGCTGATTTATGTTTTTGCATTCGGACAGCTTAAAAGTCCAGCGGTAGAATGCCTGCCAACCACGCCTCACGTGGTCCGGGGTTCGATCCTCGGCCATAGACGCACTCCTTTACCTCACTCAGCCAGTAATAAGACTGGTAAAGAGGGGAGGCTGGGCATGAGGCTAGTGACCTCATCCTGTAAAAATAAACATCACTGCTCTACCGAAATTTCAAGCCTCTAGCTTGAAGCCCTATGGTTCCACCACTGGGAACGTAAAGGCAAAAAACAAACAGAGAAAACATTCAGGCAGCTTAGAGAACACAACTAAGTCAAAAGCATCCATCTGAGCTGCAAATCTTCTCCATTAGACTAGGAGAGTTTTTATAAGTCCACCTTTTATCTCTACCTGTCATCTACTTACTATAGAAAGGGACAATTGGATGGAATGTTGAAGTCAAACAGGTAGTCATCATTTGTTGATTTCATATTACATGTTGGATATATTTTGAAGCACAGATTTTACTTTCTATTCTGTTTCGATATCTTTGTTTGTTTGTTTGTGTGTGTGTGTGTGTTTGTATTCGTGTTTGTTGGTATTTCATGCAACCTGTAGACGATTGTTTTCAGTATAGAAATGATGCTTTCACGTGGAATCTATCCCCTTTGTTTGTTTGTTTGTTACATGTTTATGCTGTGTACTCTTTGTATATTTCACACATTATTCACGACACTGAATCACTCTAAATCGCCTTAGCGCCTTTTTTTTGTTACTCAAGCTGTAATTCACTCGCATACACTTTTTCTATCTTGGTTCTGCTAAGATAAATTGTCTTCCCAACTAACTAACTAACTGCAGTAGTAGTATTCGTAGTCGTCGCCGTGGTAAAGTGCCTAGCAGCTGAATAATAACAAATATTCATGATTAATCTGAATTTGTAGGACGAATGATGAAAACAGTTCGCGTCAGTCGTTAGTGGGTATTCCTACTCCAGTTAGTGAAGTATGTACCGCTTGCTCAAACCTGAACTCTTACATTATTCTTTTCTCCTGTAGTATTTTTCTGTTTGCCGTGTGTGTGTGTGTGTGTGTGATCATTTCAATAGCGCACAGTGTTCTTTCCACACCTGCTTATCACTGAAAAGATTTTGATTGGGAATTCATTTAATGTTGGGTTGCATTTATGTAATAACTAAGGCCATTCTATCAGAATAGAACTTGAACACACTATCGTTGAATATAAGTCCATTATGGAGAAAATTTATTTTGATAAAGTTTCATATTGTAATACAATAATATTTACTGATGACCACACTTGGAGCACAATTTATTACTCATCGTCATTATATCAAGTTACTCACACAACTTTCTGACTTCATTCGACTTAAATAATGGTGAAACTAATAGTGATAACATAAATCAGAAAGAATATAAGGCATCTATAGTTTTACCATATAAGCAGGGGGCATCTGACACCCTATGTAGGATTCTTAATAAAGCAGGAATTAGGGTGGTGGCATTTAAACCTACAAACTTACTCAGGTAGGACAAGTTATCTGTAGGTTAAAGGACCCTGTCAGTTGACCCAGTTAAACAAACTAATATAATCTACAAAATAACTTGCAATGACTGTGAGTTAAGTCAACTACATAGGTCAAACTAGTAGATCTAATGAAGGCTTCGTGTGCTTTTGGAAGTGTGTGAGCGGTTGTTACTTCCTGGCTACCCACACCGTGGAAGTTGATTGAGTCTCCGGGTACCTGAAACAGAAAGAGGGTTAGTGTTGCGTGATTGCAGAGCCCAGGGGACAACTGCTTGATGCCGACCCGTCACACACGGCCCGTATGAACTGGTTTCTGGGATTGGTTCCGTATTAGTAAACTTACCGCCGGTTACGAACCACCGTAGGGTAAGTCGGGATGTACAATTTTTAGGGTCGACCTTTTCTAACCCTCTCTCTCCAGAGTGAAGAGACAGCATAGCTGGCTGTTATACTGGTCATCTGAGGTAAACACCTTACTGCTGTTACATCCCTGTTCCCCAGCTGTACGACTTCACCCTCAGACCCCCAGCATAGTGTAAGAAAGATTCTTACACAATGCCGGTAACTGCTTTTAATCTAATCGCTATCCAAACAATCTTCCTGGCATGGTAGGACCTGCAGGAACATTGGTTCCAGCCAGTGTAGCTTGTTGGGTCATTGCGATATGCAAGCCCGACCACCACGTCAAGGTAGCAGCTATCAGTCGGGAAACTAGTAGATCAGAAGTAGTGAGATTATCAGAACATAAGAATTTAGCTAAGGTTAGAAAGATTGACCCCATCCGCGAAGATAAGGTAATTTATTGAAAAGCACTGCATGCTTTAACGCACAACCACACAATAGGGTGGGACAGAGTTACAATTCTAAAAAGTACTACAGATTGATAACGGGAGAGAGAGAGATTGATTACTGAGTCTTTGTTCATCGAATCTACACCCAACACATGCAATAGGAATAACTCATCACTCATACCGGAGATATATATGGAAAATATTACTTACTACCAATCACATCAAGAGATGAGAAATAATGATGGAATTATATAAACGAAGTCGAGAAGTTGTGTGAGTAATGCCTTGATGTGATTAATATGATGATTGTGAGCAGTAGAAATAAATTTTTGCTCGTCGAAAACTGGTCATCACTAACACTGTGAAACTTTATCAAAATAAATTTTTCCCATAATAGAATTGAAGCATTCTGTGGTTGTTGTTTTGTTTCTTGAAATATAGTGGAGTGATCGCAGTTACACTATCTAGACATCAGCTGAAGAGACCTTCTTCTATCAAACCATATATATGTGTGTATGGGTCTGTGTTTGCCTTATTACATATACAGTATCTCTTTTCTATGAAGTAATAATAATAATAATGAGAACCACTCTAACTTCTTATTACTTTTATGTATATTTCTCACTTTTCATCTCATAGTCATGCAAGTCATAATCGAAATATGTCTAGTTTACGAAAATTCAATAATAACAACAATAACAATACTAATACTAATAATAATGATAATAATAATACTAATAATAATAATAATAATACGCATAGCAATAAGAAGCATCACTGTCAATCCGATAAGACCAGTTTATTGAAGAACAATGGAAAAGAAGAAATTACCGAGGAATCTGACTCATCGGACAGACAACATTCACTATTATTATTCTTATCATCATCCGGGTCATCACACGGTCATCGTCATCGCCAGCATCAGGATCATCACTCGACTGACAATGATGACAGTAATACTGATGACGACAATGATGATGATGATGATACAATGAAGGGTACTATTTCACCTAATCGTGATCCATGGATAACTATGGAACCGGAAAAACAACGTAAAATCTCTTCGACCATGGGTGGTAATACAACATCAAAGTCAAAAAAATCATCATCAAATGAAGTTGATACTACTACTACCACTAGTGGTGGGGGTGGTGGTGATAAGGTTAGATCAAAATTCTATGGCTTTGATTCGCCTACGAGTTTACCAATGAATGATTCACCTGGAATTATTATTAGTGGGGGTGGTAGTAGTCAAAGTAAGTTGTTGTTGTTGTTTTCTCTAGGCTATTTGATGAGTAACTCTTCAGTCTATAATTGATTTTGTACTTTCTCTCTTCCTTTCTTTCACATAATTGGTTTTCATTTATTACCTAGAAGAAACTTATTATCTTAATTACATGACTTTTAAGTATTGGTGGATGGTGACTGACGAGCAATGGAATCCAAGATGCACTGCATTTCCATCCTATTTAGGACTTATCAGCTGGGTGTACTTGAATTCCCCAGTGATGAGTGATGATGTTTCCACTGAGGCTCGAACCCAGTGTAGCCATAGTTTCAGAGACTCCAAATCGCTGAAATGTCAAGCTGAGGCCTACTAGCAAGCACTTTGGTCCAATCAATCAGCCGGGAAAGCCAAGCTGAGTTTATTTAATGAGTCTAGGTGTGTACTGTGTAACCCTCAATACAATTACTTTAGTCTATGCCAATCAAAAAGATAAATATTTTACAGGCAATTTTAATATTCAGTAGTCGTTTTTGGCCGTTGAGGATAGAACTGTTTATAATAGAGTGATACTGCCTTGTGATTTCGTTTAATGCATTGCTAGAATACACTTCAAGAAAACGACACTGTAACCAACTGGTTATTTGAAGATATCTCTCACACTGAAATAGACATAAAAATCAAATTGGGAAAAGCAACAACTGAAAGGATAACAACAGCTATCATACTTGTTTTGGGCGGGAAATACATGGTATATTACATTTACAAATCCTCAGAAATTTAAGCCATTAATAAAACAAATTTGATTGGTTGTCCGACTTGCCATAAATAAACCAATCAAAACTGTCGTAGCAAGGTAATCATGTCAGTACATGCATAAATCACAACTTCACGGCTAGTAAAGAGGCTTATACGTCCTAACATGAACACATATTCATGTCATTAAATATATACGGTTATTCAAAAATTATTTATAATGCGTTGGTTGGCACGATCCCCAGTCTATTAGAAGAAGCTAGTTAGTTGTAACCGCTAGAAAGACTAATTTGCAAATTAGTTATTTACATTCCATCCAGATACAGCCATCAACCTTATTCAACAGCTGTACGACAACGACACATGTCAAGTCATCCACAACGGAAAACTCAGCGAGGCGTTTGGAGTAAACATAGGAGTCAGACAAGGGTGCTTATTATCACCAATGATATTCCTAATTGTGGTGGACTAGACTATGCGTCAGACAGTGGGAAACGAGAAGACAGGGATATCCTGGACCGACGTGAACAACCCAGAAGACCTGAATTTCGCGCGTGGATGATTTATCTTTGATGTCACACAAAATCGAATACTTACAAGCGAAAACCGACAAACTGGTCGATGAGGCTGGCAGCAAAGACAGGACTCCTGGTGAACATAGACAAGACGGATGTTATGAAAATAACCAACCAACGACAACAGCAGCAACATCCAGCGCCAACCACCATCAAAGGAAGGGATTTGAAAGAGGTTACTTCATTCACTTATCTAGGGAGCATTGTCTCAACTACAGGAGGAACGGACGAGGATGTCAAATCGAGAATCGGGAAGGCGAGAAACACATTCATCATCCTCAAACCAATCTGGAAATCTTCGTCACTCACTCAGCCTGCATCAACAACAAAGTGATTCGGATTTTCAATACAAGCGTCAAGTCAGTCAGTTCTTCTATACGGATCAGAAACTTGGCCAGTGGGTCACAAAGAATATTTCCAACAGCCTGTTGCAGACCTTTATCAACAACTGTCTTCGCTGGCTCTATACTCAAGATCAGATGGCCGGAAAGAACAAGAACCAACAAGAAACTATGGAAACAAACAAAACAAGAACCAATTGCCAAACAACAAATACGCAGGAGAAAGTGGAGATGGATTGGACACTCGCTGAGGAAGCCGCTGGGTGACATCGCGCGTCAGGCCAGTGCTCGAGTGGAACCCGAAAGGGAAGCGGCGAGTGGGACGTCCAAGGGTGACATGGAGGAGATCATGTGAAGAAGAGTTGAAACAGTATGGACTAACATGGATACAGGTGAAAAGTACAGCAGAAGACAGAAGCAAGTGGAGGCGTGTAGTTGAAGCCCTATGTTGCACTAGGAACCCAAGGGAACAATAATAATAATAATTCCATCCAGATATCAGTTTAGTATGATTGTATTAGCTGTAGCACTTCACATGTTATACTAGCCCATAGTCGCCTAGTGCACACATGAAGTAGATGTCTGTGTTGCATTATTTCTTGTCCTTCCTCTTCTCTTTTTATTATGTAAGAAGTTTATATGTGTCTTTATTATTTTAAGATATTGTCCACTAGTTAATATTTCTGTGTTGTGTACTACTAGTCGATTCCCTGACCCGTAGATTACTTATTCACTCTAAATGCTTACAACACAACATTAGATTGTTGTTAGTCCTGTGTGTTGTTTAAACTATCATATTTCGTAGATGTCCAAATCTGCTTTCAAGATTTAATGGTTTAAATTTTTTGGTAAAAAAAGAAGCTAGAGTTCGGCTAAGTGGTGGTATTCAAGTGTTAGTTTCCCAGAATCGCAGGTGCCAAGCGCTGAATGCTCCTTGATTCGAATCCCATAAGATATCGAACCCCAGGACATTCAGGTTACGAGACCAAACTTGTTAACCATTCAGTCACTTGGACCGGAATTCAGTAACCCCTGAACGACACTACTGAAATCAATCCAAATCTCTACAAAAACCCATAAACGAAGTATAAAAATCTCCAACTCTTTGTCATTGATGGTTACTTGGTGGTGTTATGACCGAAACTACGACCTAGGGATTATGAGTGAATACTAAGTTAATGCGCTGGCTAATCCGTCCTTATTGCACGTCAACAATAACAGCATCAAGAATAAAGACAAAAGAAAAGACTGGACGTCGATAAGAGAGCTTTCACTGTCTGAAACAACAGTCAAAGTGCTGGACAGAAACTCTGTATATATACAGTTAGAATGGCCTTGAAGATGCAGTAATTTCAGTGATGCATTAAAAGTATTAACAGCCAATGGGAATCCAGCAATCGAAAGAGAGGGCTCACACCAGTGCTTGATAACTCCTGAAAGTAGTTGTTTTAAGGTTTTAGACGAAACTAGGTGTATATAAGAGGTGGATGTTCTGAGAAGTCGTGACCAGTGGGGTCCACCATGTGAAGGTGAAGTGGATAATAATTGAAGGTATTGGTGGGTGGGTGAGGGTGGTGCTACATCACGAATTGATAAAGACAGAATTCACGAACGATTGAATTCCCACCCAATTGCGCGAATGGTCATTGAGCATGATCTTGTAACCTGAATGTTCCAGGTTCAATAATTAGTTGGGTCGAGGGTGCGCACCGTTGAACAGTCTCAAAATAGGAAGAAACGGACGTGCGGTGCTCCCTGATTTAAATAATAATAATAGCTTTGTTCTGTACAGTGTTTATATCATGTACAGAATTTCCACCGGAGTTTATTGCATGATATTTCCTCTGCATCCAGGATCTTCAAATAAAAAGTATTAATTGACAGTAGATCGCGTGACACAGTTCAATCTGACCTGAAGCGCAAACCAATCCATCATTATGATATCTGTTCTTTTTCTCCTTTGAGAAATACACGACGACATTTCGTTGAGTGTCAATTTTAAAAATCTCAAGAATCTATTTTGTGAACCAAGGACACCATTGAGAAACGGTCATCTTATGTACACACTGTGGCATAAGCTGCCATCGAGAATAATGCTTTTTCTCATGCTTAGTAGAAACTTACGAATCAGCAGGTTGTGAATGCTTCAAATACTCACCAGAGTCAATAATGCCATTAGGGGGTCATACTTGACCAGATTTAAACAAACTGAATCGGAGAAACTATATGCAATAATATACATATTGATGGAGTTTTTCGGTAGCCCAAGTTTTAAGCAAATGTTACCCTTTCTAGATAGTTGTTGTCAGTATCTGTCGCTCATTTCAGAAATGTTGTTTTTGTCTTTTGTGTGTGTGTGTGTGCGTCTGTTGCTGTTGTCATTGTAAGACACTGTTATATCCTTCTAATCGAGTCCCTATGTCATTTTATTCTTTCAATCTTGATTTCTTCACTTCATCTGATTTCTCCTAAATGTAAGTATAATGTCGTTACTATTATTGTTGTTGTTGTTATCCGTTATTGATGTTTAGTTTTCACTCCTTATCCTCTCTCTCTCTGTGGCCTATTCATCATCAGTTCAAAGTATACATCATTTGCACAGGTATAATTCATTGCTGTTTTTCTTCTCATTTTTGAATGAAATCTCTTGATCAGATTTTCTCTGAGAGTGTGATGTTGTATTTTATTTGTCTAATTCTAGTAGATTGATTTGTTTTAAGGATCGAGTGAGTGAGTGAGTGAGTGAGTGAGTGAGTGAGTGAGTGAGTGAGTGAGTGAGTGAGTGAGTGAGTGAGTGAGTGAGTGAGTAAGTGAGTGAGTGAGTGAGTGAGTGAGTGAGTGAGTGAGTGAGTGAGTGAGTGAGTGAGTGAGTGAGTGAGTGAGTGAGTGAGTGAGTGAGTGAGTGAGTGAGTGAGTGAGTGAGTGAGTGAGTGAGTGAGTGAGTGAGTGAGTGAGTGAGTGAGTGAGTGAGTGAGTGAGTGAGTGAGTGAGTGAGTGAGTGAGTGAGTGAGTGAGTGAGTGAGTGAGTGAGTGAGTGAGTGAGTGAGTGAGTGAGTGAGTGAGTGAGTGAGTGAGTGAGTGAGTGAGTGAGTGAGTGAGTGAGTGAGTGAGTGAGTGAGTGAGTGAGTGAGTGAGTGAGTGAGTGAGTGAGTGAGTGAGTGAGTGAGTGAGTGAGTGAGTGAGTGAGTGAGTGAGTGAGTGAGTGAGTGAGTGAGTGAGTGAGTGAGTGAGTGAGTGAGTGAGTGAGTGAGTGAGTGAGTGAGTGAGTGAGTGAGTGAGTGAGTGAGTGAGTGAGTGAGTGAGTGAGTGAGTGAGTGAGTGAGTGAGTGAGTGAGTGAGTGAGTGAGTGAGTGAGTGAGTGAGTGAGTGAGTGAGTGAGTGAGTGAGTGAGTGAGTGAGTGAGTGAGTGAGTGAGTGAGTGAGTGAGTGAGTGAGTGAGTGAGTGAGTGAGTGAGTGAGTGAGTGAGTGAGTGAGTGAGTGAGTGAAGGGATGACATAAATTTAAATAAATACACCTGATAAAATACAATAGAATTAAAAGCTTTAATTCGATATTTCGAATCAGGCAATCTAGATGCAGATTTTTCTTTCAACTTTGAGGATATAAACGTTTGATTTGTATCTGATTTTGATGGTTGATATAATCTACACTTATCCTGTATCCCACCAGCTGGGGTCGTACTTCTGTTAAGTTATTAAATGAGTCAATGGTTCAGTGGTAGAGATGTTCACCGACCTTGGCATGTGGTTCGGCGTTCAATCCCCCCACTGGCGAACATCTTTACATCTCCTCTAATATCAACCGGTTGTAAGCCGGATAACCGTAAAAAAAAGAGAATAACACCCAGTGCTACTGAAAATTCAAAGTTCACAAAGCTTGAAGCTCTATGTGGATGGATAGAGTAAAGTCAGGTATTTTATTTGTCGTCATACAGCATTCTCAAAGAGTGCTGTCATCACAGACTTTATTAGTTAAAGTACTAGAACAATGCTTTCAAAGAGTTACAAGAATTTCATTCAATCCATTTTGGTGACCAATTACTAAATAGGAATGTATAACGAAAACGGTGAATCGATGATACCATTCCTCATTGAATGAATCTATCACATACGATGGGATATTGTAAAAACTTGTGAAACTAGAATAAGAAAATATAACTCGTACAGCTTGTCACAATCAATAGCATTGGACAACTTTTTCGTCCTAGTCTTCGACTCTCCGAATGCTGCGCATTCATAACTTCACCAGAGGTCGTGTTTAAAACGTATGGGTTACGTAGCTGATCATATTACTATTATTATTCAGGTTAAATGATTAAAAATGCCCATTTAAATTTTTTTTCAAAAGAATGGTCACTGAACAAGGAATATTCTTTTCGATAAGCTGCTCTTCATCATCAGGTTCTACAGTTACGTATACATACTGGTGAATGAATGAATTAGTGTTGTTTAAATAACATCGAATCAATAATATCAGTAGATTACAGTTCAATAGCATCAACATAACACTACACATTGAATATCAGAGAAATTAAGAAAAATAATAATACAAATTTATGAATTCACAGTCTCCACTGAAAGCCGACCAGGGCAGTAGTAGTGGCTGAACTTGCTTCTTTTGCACACAAAGCACTGGTTGCTTCACGCGAATTGCGATAGTCTCTGATGTTTGGAGCATGTGGTACCTGGATGTTTTCGGCAATTTATTTGGTACTCGGTAGATGATACAGAGAGATTCTTCAATGCTGGCTGCCTTTGTGGCCGGTTTGCACCAGATGGTCTAATATCGAGCTGTTGATGCTTTTCACTACACTGGCAGATGTTCCTGAGCACGAAAAATCAAGTTCCTAGAGCAGTGGCCAATATAACTCGCTTCACAAGCGCAGTTGATTTGGTAGACACAATTAGAAGAGGTGGCTAGTGTAAGTACTTCATCTTTCAATTGAGAAAATCACCATCGGTCGTGTAGAAAATATAACTTGTAGCTTACCAGCATTAAAAGTTCTTTGAACTGATTTTCTTAACTTCTTCGTAATTATTTCGCTAGGTATACTGCCCTTAAATTGCAGTCGTATGTATAAAGGATTCTTGTTTACGGATGGTGAATAATCCCTTTCTACTTTTCTGGTCAAGTGTTTCTTGATGAACTTTTCCGGATAGCTATTTTCAATCAAGGTATCATATACAACAATCCTTAGTTCATCTCCAATTACCTCTTCTGAGCATTTCACTCTAACCCTGTGGCTGAGGGTCATGTCTTTGTTTCAAATCCTATTGTCTTTGGACTCTAAATACTGTCGATCCGAGTCATATTATCACCATATCATCCCATGTGAACCTTCTTTTGTCAGACCTACAGGTCAGGACATGTTATTAGTACACCAGAACATTACAAAGTCCTACAAACCTAACTTAGTATATGTATGTACATAGAAATTTTACTTTTTTTGAATGGCTGGAATTCATCGGTCAAGGTTTTGGACTGGCTACCTCTCGAAGCTATAGAGTAAAATTAATTAATTAATTTTTTCATTCTCCTACTATAAGTCGTAAACATCCTAGCACTGATTGTCTATACTATTATCCCATATCTTGCTTCTTCTTCATGACTTTTGGTAGTTTTCTTTCATCCCTTTTGTCTTCTTTGCTTCTACCTAATCTTTTGATTGCCCGCCCTTATTATATTGATTCTTGTGTTCTGTGTTGATGCGATGAAAACAAATAATATATAACGACAGAAGACAAGGGCCAGGTAACAGATCGTTTATTGAGATAATCAACAGATACTTATGAATTTTTATGTACATTATTATTTGTTATTGTTGGCCGAGAAACAACGTCTTCTGATTGGTTGTTTTCTCGAAGAAAAGTTATTCTGTCATCTCTTTGTGTTGCGGTTTCTTAGAAAGTTAAGCCATATATCTGCGAATCGTATTTACACACGTTAAGTCTTCTGTGATTGGTTGTTGTTGAGTTCCTCAAAGTTAGGCTTTGTGCTTGTTTTTTTTCCCCATGAACGAACACATTGACGTAAACTGTTGTCTATAATTTTGACTTGCAGCCAGCTCTCACCACACTCACCACTCAAAAAAATTTCTGTCTCTCTCTTTCACACACACACACTCATACACGCACCGCTATACACTCTTAAATGTACAATATACACTAAAGTGTTTATATAATCTCACACTGCTTACAATTGAGTTGTTTATTTTTCGTTTCTCACATATAGAGTAGTATTCACACTCAAAACTGCACTGGTGTGTTGATTTTGCTTTTTTTTTCTTCTTTTTATATTTTTCTGTTTTCACAAATCACTAATCCATTTTCTTATTACAGGTGCACAATGATGAATATATTTCATGTTACCTTTTTTTTTCTCTCTCTCACTCTGTCTTTATTTTATTCTAATTCTAGTTTTAACATGGAATATATATAACCATAGAATTCAGTGTGTGTTTCTTTTTTTTTTGGTAGATAAGGCTAAGTTGGTGTGGATAGGCTTTAACACTTTTATTAACGCTTACGTAATAATACAGCTTGACTAATAACATACTGTTGTTGAATACTTCTCGTTCAGTGTTCACTTATGATTTTACCTAATCATTGTGTTATTGCTTTGTGATGGTAAACACATTGTTGTATGCTTGTTTTTTATTTTTTTGTTTTTGTAGAAAAGACAGGAATGGAACTACCTTCAGTCGACCGGACAAATACTCGAACAGTAATCATGACTTCCGATGTACATAGGCATAAAGCATCAACTATTACAACGGTTGTGCCCACACCACAATCACCATCGCCAATACCGCCAATACCACAGTCATTAACAATGTCAACATCTGTTAAAAGCAGTAATAATAATGATAATAATAATAAAACTCTCTCCTCATCTGTATTTGAATCAGATTATAATAATTATTATTATGGACAGAATAAAGGCGGAAAATTATGGAAACCACGTCGCTTACACTTTGTTCTACGTCTTCCTATAATTGGTTCTGATCCTCATATTTTATTAATACAAATGATAGAATTATTTAAACGTTATCAATGCGCTTATACTTTTCTCAGTTCATATCGTTTACGTTGTACAAAATTAATAAATTCACATAATAATCCTAATGATAATTGTAATACTACTACTACTAGTACTAATGATAATAATAATAATGAAAGTATTGATGAACAGGGCATACAACAACAACAACAGCAACAGCAACAACAGTTTCAATGCAGTAAATCATCACAGTCATCGTCATCATCATCCAGTGTACTTAACTGGGATTTAGAGATATTTCAATTAGCCAAGCCAATTGTTTATGGTGTACGCTTTAAACGCATTTCAGGCAATCGTAATGCATTCAAATCAATGGTAAAATATTTTGTTCATCAAACTGAAAATATAACTTGATGTATCCATCATCCTCGTCATCATCACCACCATCATCGTCGACGTCGGCGATGGCGGCGTCGTCGTCATCATCAGCATCAGCATATCTTGTTCACAATTCAAGATACAATCACAACTATTGTATGTTGTGTTTATAAATATTGTTTGTTTGCTTGTTTGTTTGTTTGTATGCGTGAGTGTGGAGGTGTTGTGTGCGTGTGTGCACGTATGTACGTACGTGCGTACGTAGGTACCCAAATACAATCAAGTGTAGAGTTGACATACATTCACACATGCACACACGCTCTTCTCTTTTAAAATAGAATTCTTTATTTCAGCATCTTAGTGTTGTTATCTTATTCTTTTCGTGTTTTCTTTCTCCGCTTAAATTATGATCTCATTTCATTTGTGGTAAGTATTTATGGCGAATAAGATATGCTCTCTCTTTCTCTCCCTCTCTCGTTCACTGTATTCAATCATTATAGATGCTAATAGTGTTTATGTTACATATACATATGTATATGTACATTCTTTTCTTTTATGAGAATTTCAAATGCTTTCTTTTTACAGCGTTCTTTGTTCAAAAATAGATTTTAAATCATATCACGAATTAATATTATTTGTTTTTTTCTTTCTTGCTATGCGTGTTAAATCACTCAGCATTACGTCACATATATAAACATATATAAATATTTGTATAATATTGTTTGTATTCATTGTAAGTTTGTTCTCTCCTCTGCCGCACTCACCCACCCACATTGTCCTCAACCCATTGTACTGCCAACCTACAAGTCATATTGTTTGATGTAAAAATGGTACTCCTGTCCGTTGTCTTTCCGCTGGCTTTTTTTTCTTGCGTCTTCTTTTATCACATATCCATTATACTTTTATAATTAACAGGTCACTGTAACTCTGACAAATGTACCGATATATATATACATATATTCCTCTGTATTGTATGGATCTCATGTTTTTTTTCATTCTCATCACCCCGGTCGTTTCTTTACTCCTCTTCTCTTCTCTACCTTATTTTACTTTTTGCTTGATGTGTGTTTCTTCTTTTCTTTGAAAAAATACCCCCAGCAAATTTCATGTCCGTGATTTATATGTGTGGATGTGTGTTTGTTTGTTCCTACAGAAGTGGTCATAGTATACATAGCAGTTGTTTATTTTTTGACCTATAACGAAGTGCATATTACTTACTGCATACACTGCATACGACATATTTGTCTTCCCCGCTTATGTTTTTTTTGCCACCAAATTTATCAAATTGAATAATTTAAACAATCATCGGTCTTAACTTACTTGGTTATTATTATTACTATTATTATTATTAATTAATTAATCAATTGAAAGTTAGGATTGTAATTTGTAACATAATTAGTACTTATTACATATTACTTGCACAAGTTTAAATATATAAATCGATTCCTTCTACTTTTATTCATCTTAAATTGTCTGCTTTAAATTAATAATATTCTATGAATGTTAATTTTTAATGAAATTTCTTAGACTGTTAGAATTAATAATTATAGTTCTTACTGCTATCATGTTATAATGTGTTGTATGCACCTGTCTGTCTGTCTATCTCTCTATCTGTCTGTCTGTCTGTCTATCGATGTATATTTTGTCTTTTTGTGTGTCTTCAATTGAATTGTCTTCGTTCCTTCCAACTTTTTTTTTGCATTGTCGTCTATAGGTACTTGTGATTATTGAAATTGCTCATATATTGTTATTATTATTATTATGCAATCGGTATTTTATTGTTTGCATCGACTAACCCACTCAATTACTAACTAACTAGCTGACTCGTAGAACTATAACACACACACACACAGACATGCGAATTTGTGTCTACACTTATGTGATTGTGATGTGCGCGATATGCTTTGTTTATGGATTATTAATAAAAATGCTGTTATGTTTTGTTGGTGGTTATCTATATATATGTATGTATATGGTATATATTAGATTTACGCCTACTTTACCTCCTCTGTTGTTAACTCATCCTTTGAGAGTTTGTGATTGCTTCTGTGTATTTATAATATATTATAATTGATGTTAGGTGCAAAAACATATACACCCACACCCACACACACATGCATACATATATGAATTTGTTAGCTAATATCATTCAAGTATCTTTTTAATAATTCTAATAATAATAATAAAAATAATATAGAATTCCTTATTATTGTTTCACATTTCTGATTATCATCAACTTTCAAATAAAGTGATATAAGAAAAAAAATAATGCGTTTTTCTAAATATTACTGGAAATATTATCTCTTAGATAATAGATTATGTTTGTAAATAATTGATGGGGACTAGCTTAACGCTAACTGACTTCATCGACTTTAGGGATTGCCTTACGATCTATCAGGGATGATATAGTCCTCCTAGATGAAGATGCCGACATGTTGCAGTCTTCTGAACACTTTGAACAACAGTCTTCAAATGTTCGGCAGGTGATTCTCTGCTACTGTGAAATGTAAGTTGATGAGGCTACAGCATTGGACTGCATCAACTCCGTAGTTTAAAGATAACCAGGGAAGTAGTAGAACGTGTTGATCGATTCACTTATTTTGTGGGAATTTGCATCAGTCAGTCCGAACGGTCTGATGATCGCTAACGAAATATCAACACGGATACAGAAGGCTCATGTGGCGTTTGACAACTTAAATCATTTCTGGCGTAGATGTGTTATCCAGTTGGTTGTCGACCAAAGTACGTGTGTATATGGCTTCCCAGCAGTTCTCACTATCCTCCTTTATGGCTGGCTGTCAGTAAGACATAGATGGCTATTGAAAGTGGAAGACATGAGAAGCTTGGCCAGCCGTCTTTGATCATAGATTTCTGCGTTCTATCATCCGTGTTAGATGGTGGTATAATAGGGTGGGTAATATTGAAGTTAGGCTTCGGTCGAGTGTTAGGTAAGGAGGGTAAATCAATGGACGAGGTTGTGAAGCAGCTGCATCCATTGAGTGAAATGGTTAGGACATCTGTTACGCATGCATGTCTAGTCATCGACCGCCTTCCTCAACGACGGGCAGTGTTATCTGACTAACATAGGATCGATGAGGTCGGAAAAGAGCTGTTAGTGGTGGTCAAATAAAAACATAACTTCATCAGTCAATGATATCCATTAGAGTTAATGTGAACCAGCCACGTATAGAGATGTGGGCTTCCTGATTGGCTGGCTGGTTTTGGTCCTCAGGATGGTGAGAACCAATGGCCGTTGTAGAAAGACAATTGGTGATATGGCTGAAAATCCTCGTTCTCGATGATGACACAGATGTATTCACCACTCTTTGTGATTTGTCATATTCGGTGAAACTCTACTGTTTTTCGTATTAGTATTCTTTTTCCCTCATTACACTTGTGTTTATTCTCTCTTTTAAACCTCTCTTCTGTTGCATTGTGTGGTACAAGAAGAGAGTGTAGCAAGTTGAACTGCTGTACATCTGTGCAAAATACTTCTATGTTGAAACCAGTCAGTCAGACAATGAGCAAATATTCAGTTATAACCAATTACGATCAAGGTTTCCAGGAGTAAAGATTGCTGATAAACTCGCGGTGATTCCTGAAAGTTCACTTCAAGTTGAAGTATGCACTGAAAGTGTTGTCTAGACAAATAGTAAAACCTCCGCAACTAAACTATCCAGCTCAGTGAATACAACTACGCCGATATAATTGGTGTTACTTAGGTGTGAAATTACTCCAAACTGTCGCATTTGTGGAACAATTAAAGACTGAAATATTATCTATAAGGTGTTGAACTGTTCAATATCTCTTGGGAAATAAACAAATTTTCAGTCTAAGAATTTCTATATCCTGACAACTTGAAATAGATTCTTTGCCGAATACTTACTCTTGCTATACTAGAGCTCCAGTGGTTTAGCGGTAGAACGCTCGCTAACCACGCCTGTGGTCCTGTTTCCAATCCTCGGCTGACTCACTCCTAGACCTCAGCAGGGCGGTAGTAAGGTCGGCAAAGAGGGAAAGTTGGGCGTTTGGCTAGTAACCCCACCCCGTAAAAATAAAAAACCCGCTGCTATCGGAACTTCAAAGCTCTAGCTAGAAGTCCTATGCTAGAACAAGAGAAAGACAGAAAGTAATACTGTAACGGTAGAAGACGAATGCTTTGGTAAATGAATGTTTAGTTGCAATTTGATACCTCTGTATAGCCAAATTATGTACACCTTATCTTCAACGCACTATTTCCACAGATCTTCCGTGTTTCGCTACATCTGGCCTTCATATTGTGTTTCTTCATGTTCCTTTTATGTCTCCCATATATCGTTACAACGCTGTATCATTTTCTCTCCCTCTCTCTCTGGCCGCTTCACTTACTTGGGAAGTACCATCAGCCCCAACGGGTTGATCTCCGACGAAATCTCAGCACGAATACAGAGGGCTAGTATCGCATATGCCAGTTTACGCCGTCTCTGGCGTAGACGCGATATCCGACTATCGACCAAAGGGCGTGTGTACTGCTCAACAGTTCGCTCCGTCCTCCTTTATGGCTGTGAGACCTGGCCATTGAGAGCAGAAAATATGAAAGGATTAGATGTCTTCGATCATAGGTGTCTGCTTTCTATCTCCCGTGTGAAGTGGTATAATAAGGTGAGCAATATTGAGGTTAGGCGTCGAGTGCTAGGTAAGGAGGCGAAATCAGTCGACGAGACTGTAGAATAACATCGACTGAGATGGTTAGACATGTGTTGGGTATGCCTAGTCATCGATCACCCTCCTCGACGGGCAATGTTAGCTGACATAGGATGGGTCAGGCTGGAAAAGAGCTAGCGGCGGTCAAACGAAAACATGGCACCAGTCAATGAAATCTACAACAGTTAGTCTAAGCCACGTAGAAAGGTGTAGACTGGCTTCCTGGTTGGGGTCCCCGGGACGGTAAAAACCAATGGTTGGAAACAATTGGTGACATGGCTCAAAATCGTTATCCAATGGCTGGCGCAGATGCATCCACTCCTTGTGACTTATGATTTCCAATTAAACTGTTT